TCTTACTTGATTGACCCTCGGAGCAAGTACTCATACCCCTGTTATGCTTGTAGGACTCCCTGATAGCCTTGTTGTCCTTGCTCTCAGCCTCAACCACTAAAGCCTTTCGCACTGCTTTTACATACTCTGTCGGTTCTGAAGCAGCTACAATTGGCCTAATGGTAAAATCAAGGCCATCAACAAATTTCTCTATTTTTCCTTCTTCATCATTAGCAATTCCCGGTGAAACCTCAAAAGTGATGTAAACTTGTTTTCATACTCTGTAACTGTCATGCTTCCTTGCTTCAACCCATCAAACTCCTTCTTTAGTTCCTTCCGCTTAGGCGCCGGAAAGTACTTCTCATAATACAACTTCTTGAATGTAGCATATGTCATAGTATCCAGATTATGGGTGTGAGAAACGGTCTTCCACCAAATCTCAGCATCCCCCATAAAATTGTAAGTAGCCAATGTAATCTTCAACTTGTCCGTTGCCAAATTCATGGCATTAATATGCTTCTCCACCCTATCCATGAAACTATCCGCAACAAGCGGATCTGGACCGCCCTCAAACAAAGTTGGCATCAATTTCACAAATTTTTCAATGCGGTAAAGAGTATCATCTAACTCATTTTTCTTTGGAGGTGGTGGTGGTGGTGCCGGTGGTGGCACAAACTGTGACGATGACGCACCTGTCGGTCGATATGCATTAAAAATAACCTCCTGAACGGCTAACCTCAACTGCTCCCTATTTATCTGAAAAGGTGGGTCAACGGTCCCCCTCGCTTGTCCCTCTCTTGGTGGGACCAAATCACGCAATAAGATATCTTCCTCAACTTGCTCCTGATCCCTTTCCACGGGATTGGAGCTAGAACTTTCCCCGGGATCCCTTCATGTTGCCATAAAGCTATAAGAAAAGGAAATGGATCAATTACGATGACACTAAAATATGCACGAGAACGGAGTCCTCACACGAATGACTTGACAAGAATGGAAACACATAAACACCTTCCATACTTCCAAAATAACCAACTAAGGATAAACATAATCATAATAATATACAACAACATTAACCACTTAGCACATAATGATATAAGCATTTAAACAATTAAGCATGCCTTTCAAATAATTAAACACCTTAACACATAAACATATAAGCATGCAATCACGTAAGCAATTCAACAAGTAAGCAAATAACTCAACTCCCCATGCAATCCTAGGTAGGCCTCTACCTGTCGTCCAAATGGTATTCGAACCATCGCTCTGATACCAAATTTGTAATGACTCGAATAGATACCAAAATAATAATAAAAATCTATAAAAATTTCGGCATGACTTCCGTAAAAAATGTCCCTCAACAACCTGTAGAAATACAAAAATAAATGCAATGGCCTCACTGGGTCTTAAATCTAACTTATCATGTTTCAACGCACAATTCAAATATTATACTACATTTCCAAAATGGTTACATACATACAAAAGTCCCGTTCCTCCATCTCATCCAAACATGGAACCCACTTAAGTTACATCAAATTACAGCCCATAAAATGTAGCTAGAAATTAAAAGTCCATAACTTACAACATTATACTAATTAAACTAAGGTGTCATAAGGTAGTTAATATTACATTTACAAAATACTAGAGTCTAATACAAAAGATAACAAAATAGAATGGGTATTCAAGCTCATCTAAACCTATGGTGGACCGTCGTCCGCCACCTCTTTTCCATATCCTAAAAAAATGTTTAAAATAAAGGGGTAAGCACAAGCTCAGTAGGAAATGTCTAAGACACATTTCTTATGTCTCTGTGAATCCATGCAATGAATAGATAAAAAGTGAACGGGATCATGCTATCGGGAAACGCACATTCTCAACCACAATAACAAGTATATAACAAATATCAACCAATCACAAATTTACCACGATGTCATGAAGTGCAATGTTATGCAAATGTCACTCCCCATTTCCGAAACAATTCAGTTTCAACAACCAAACCGTTAGTGTAGTCCGACCCAAGGCACTTCCATGGCATCACGAAAGGAAGGTTGGTTAACTATCCACGACCACAAGGCACCTCCAAGACGTCGCATCCGGCTTAGTTAACTCAACTACATTCCCTTCTAGACTACACCAACATCACGGACCACTAGGCGCCTCCTAGGCGTCCGGTTTTCGCAACACTTTTAGAAAATATTTTCCCCAAAACAATTTTATTTGTTCTAACAATTATTTTTTCCCCTTTCTCTTTCCCAATGGATGCATGAATGCTTCATGCTTCAAATCATTAATTTAACTATATGTTTTCACACATTTCCATTTACATCATCATCACAATTTAATGAAAATTTCTAAACATTCATTTCCTTTATTTATTTATTTATTTATAACCATAACATCTATTTTTCTTCAAGATAATAAATAAATAAATAATCATAGAACATACAACACATCAAACACTAAGCATGTTCATTTACCGTAATGAAAATAGACATATATATGAACTCAAATAACACAAGGAGCACAATTATCATTGTAATTACAAAGAACTACAACAACAACAAGCTAAGTAATTAAAATTTAACATGCTTAGAATCAAATTTAAGGGGAAAAATTTACCAAAGGCCAAGAAATTGTAAATTAGAACACCCCTATCTCAAATTGATGAAAACCCACAATTTGAGCCAAGAACCCTAGAATTTTGAACTCCCTAGAGTGTACCAAATAATGATTGGCTCCTATCAAATTAACAGTCTCGAAGAGCTTAACAACTTTGCTTCACAATGTTCTACCAAATTACCAAAGGAAAAAGCAAGATCAAGGTTTGAAATTACAAAAAGAAAAAAAAAAAATGAAAACTGCCGAGAGCTGGTTACAGCAAGAGAGAGAGAAAGGTGGACTAGTGTAATGGCCTTATGGCCTTTTGTGTGTTTATAACATGGGTGGGGCCCACTTACTTTATTTCTTTTAGCATTAATTATATATATACACATATATATCGCAACATTACAAAAGGCATGCTTTGAACTTCTTTCGATGTACTTTTAAGTTGTTGAAAAAGAAGATTCATATCAATATAAATTCATATGAATATCTAACTGGTTGATTTCAATGTACTTGTTTTCTTTCTTCTTCTTTTTTTTAAAAAAAAAATAAAAGAAAAAAAAAATTCCTATCTTTTTCGGCTCAATATAGGCCGTAAAAGTTGAATAAGTGTTGACATATATTTTCTAGAGGGATTCTAATAGCCATGAGGCTTGAAATTGAGTTCTTGTAATTAACAATTAAATGTTCGCATCAAATTTAATTGATAACGTTTGGAGGTACTTTACACTAATTTTTTTTCAATTTCAATTTTAATGCATTAACTTCATGACTTGATATGAATATTTCATTACAAAATCATTTGTCCAATACATCTTATATAATTCAATTTTAAAAAAGAAATCCAACCTTGAAGCTCGGTTTGTGACTTAGTCATGGTGGTTGGCTGTTGAGGCACTTCTCTCGTGAAATTAAACTTGAAGCTCAATTTTGGATATCAGTCCAACTTAGCTTTTGAAATTGATTTTTTAATATATGGAAGAAAATTTTCAAAATTAAAAAAAAAAAAAAAAAAAAAAGAAAACTATAAATTTTGTTCCTTTTGTGAACTTTACGCAATTAACATAAAAATTACAAAATTTACATCAAGTTGAAGATGTAAAGATATTCCGACACGAATTAAATGGATGTGGCATATTATTCCAAATTTTTTTCTTTGAAAAGTTACTTGATCATTTTATCTAATTAAAAACTTTAAACACTCCATTTTCCCCCCACTCATATGTAGAGTCATTTTAACAAAAACCTAATGAAGATTGTAATTTTCGTTTTTTTATATTTTCACTAATCCATACTAGTTTGTTTATATTTTCACTAATCCATATTAGTTTGGAGAAATTAAAAAATTAAACTATTAATCGTAAAACAAATCTCGCCAATGGGTCCAGGATACACCTTTAATAAAGTTCATAACGGGACTCCTAACACTTATCAAGAAAGAAGTAAAATCTTAATTTTACACTCTTAACTAATTCAATTTTTATTAAAATTTGAAAAGTGATCTATTATAATCTCTAAATAAAAAAAGGACCTGGAGTGCATTAAAGAATTTAAAGCTTTATGATAGGAAAATAAGTAAAATAATGAAATATAAATAAATAATAACAGAAATAATAAATAAATAAAATAAGAAAAATTCTACGATGATCCTACTTGTGAAGCTGGAAGACAATGAAGTGCTAATTTTTTTTTCTAAATCAGTCCAAACTTATTTTGTTTTTCAACAATACCCTAATCAAATAAGTTGGGCATTGCCCATTAGTTTTTGGGTTTAACCAAATCTCTGTTTTACGTTAATTTTTTTCCTTCTCAGACTCGTCTAGTCCACCGCCGCCACCGACTGCACCACCGTGGCCGACGACAACCCAAAATGACTATGGCCTCGACGATACTGAAGCTCCGGCCTCCTGAATCAACCTCCCCACAATCGGCGGCCACTTCAGCACCGCCACCAAAGGGCAACAGCATTACCACCACCGGCGGCGGAGGCAGCAGCACCATCCCCATTCCTGTAACAGCCACCACCATCCCCGCCCCCAACCACCAGCGGCGATACTACCACCATCCATACACACACATAAGCCAAATTCATACGCTAATCCACTGGAATCAGATTTGGCCATCAATTGATGTCCAATGTAACCAAAATCAACCAAAACCCATATATACGCGCACACATATTGTCATGAACTCTGTAATTCCACCACTCCATCTCTTCTTCACACCCAACACTTCCATGCCTTTTCAATGCCCTAAATTACAGAACCCAAATCCTTCAAAACCCTAGAACTCACCATCCCAACTCCCCCTCAACCTCATCCAATTATTCCTCCTCCTCCCTCTGTCCCCGCCGCCGTCGTCTTCGTCGCCGCTTCAATCCCAATATAATCACTGACGCCAAACATACCTCGCCGTCGGTTATGGCGCTGGAGGTGAAGAGAAAGAACAGAATCCTCATTGACCCTAGCAATGGTGCATCAGACTATGGTAACTGGTTGATTTCAAAAGGTTTGTGGGTCCCTTTACAATTTTCTTTCGTATTGAATTTCCATTTTAGTATATACAGGTATGATATATAGGATTCGTGGACATATGACCCGTGTAATGTAGCCGCACTTGTTCCACTTTCCTAAGAACCAATCTAGAATTTTCCAAATCCTAAAAGTCTACTTGCCTAGCAAGCCAAAATGCCTATAAATTACTTCTTCCAACATTAAAAAAAAATACTGAATTCCTAAAGCTTAGGCCTTCAAGAGAAAGAAAAGAAGAAATAAGGGTAACGTCATGTAATATTTATAAAATATTTTATTGCTTTTAATATTATGCATATGTCTATGTCTTCTTCTACTCTTTCTACATGACTCATCTATTATCTGCATCAACCCTCATTATTCTGAAGCATGATATCTTAAAGATATAATGTACATAGTGACTTTCATGGGTTCTATATCGGAGTGGGCGGACAAGGATGATAGTTTAATTTTATTCAAACTCATATTTGTTGTATGTGTGCATTCGAAGTGACGTAGCATCATTTGTCCAGAACCATTTAATAATTTTTTGATGTCAAGTCTTCTCAAGAGTTCATTCTTGGGTGCTGAGTTTCTCTTTCTCTCTCTCATCTAAAGCTCTAACAACTCATCGGTGCTTAAGTGTGTCTCTCTGTGTGATATAAGTAAGGGGCTCTTCTAGTCTTCTTCACCGGTTGATCCTTGGAATCACCATCCAGTTCACTGGCAGCAGATTCTCAGTGAGTCATCTATTATCCATATATCTACTCTTTTTTCCATCTTCAGTAGTATTTATAGCTACTCTCTTTAGATTTTAGGAGCTTTTCTATTTACATCTAATTTCTCTCTCTAAATTTTAGGGGCTTTTGAGTTTGGAAGTTGTTGTTAGTTTATCAACGGGGCAGTGGCTTGGCGGTATTAGGGTTAGGGATTTAAGCCTCATTGGAGGCATGTGTGTTGTCTAGGTAAGGACTAAGAAAAAAAATAAAAAATTTGTGAGTAGGTTTTTTTTTTTTTTTTTTTTTTTTTCAATGTAATGTAAATGTTAGGTCTGAATTCAGCTACCATTTGCAGACACTATTATGGCCTTAAAATATTATTAAGGCTTTCGGAATTTAAAAATAAAAAAATAAAATAAAAATCAATATCCTTCAATTGGCCATAGCAATGCTGCAATTGAGGGAATTTATAAGAATTTATGTATTCAATGGCCCAGCTTGTATATATATATTTTTTATAGTTGATACACACACACACATGCCTCCTTCGAGGCTTGAACTCGACCTTCCTTTGGGAAGTAAGGGCTTGATACCGCTAGGCCATTGCCCATTGGTCTGGCACAGCTTGTATAAGCAATGTGAGTTCTGGTGAATTTCGAGAGGAGCCAGCACTGAGAATCTTGCAGCATTCGGGGGATTATAAATGTTCAGAAACAATTTGATAAAAATTAGACATCTTTGAAGTCACTTTGATTTTTTTTTTTTAGAGAGTTGTAGGTTTGAGAATGAAGGATGATATCAAGTGTTTATAGTAGAATTTGCAATTAATATTTAATTGTTCATTGTAGAATTTGCAATTGATATTTAAATTTGTAAAGCTAGTCATGCGAAATCATGGAATTCAGTGGTATATTTATGTTTGCACTATGTACTTCTGTATGTTCATCTGTAAATGGCTCACATAATTATTACACACACATGCTTCACTGCAAAAGATGCAACTTACCAGTCTTTTTTCCCTCTCAATGCAACTTACTAATCAATCAACTTTTTATAGCTACTCTGCAGAAGAAAATAACATGGCTGAAGATGGAGCATTTCTCTCAGCTTTCCTTCGAGTGCTACTTGATCGGTTGGCGTCTTGCGACTTCATACGCATTTTTTCCCAACGGAACTTCGATCATGGACTGAGAAACAAGCTGCGGACAACCTTGTTGGCCCTCCAACTAGTGCTGGATGATGCGGAGGACAAGCAGATCACCAACAAATCTGTGAAAGCTTGGCTCCAGGAGCTCCAACATGTTTTCCACCAAGCTGACGACTTGCTGGATGAGATTTCTACAAAAGCCCTGAGGGACAAGTTGGAAGAAGTTGATCATGATCTGTCCCAAACCCAAAGCAGCATAAGCACAAAACTGGTTGGTTTCAGCCAATTTTTCCGTTCGGTCAAGCAATCTTTATTAGGCATTAATCCATCTGTCTCAACTTCTGTTTATTTCTGATGAAGAGACTGAGTCTCGGATGAAAGTGATCATTAGTAAGTTGGAGTGTTTGCTTGAGCACTCAAAATCTCTTAAATTGAGAAATGAAGTTGAAAGGAAACCATCACAAAGGCTTCCAACCTCATCTTTGGTATATGAAGATGAAGTCTGCCGCAGGAAGGATGACAGAGAGAAGATAATTCAATTGTTGTTGTCTAACAACACAACTAGGAATGATATCCCTGTGATCCCCATTGTTGCCATGGGTGGGATGGGCAAGACAACCCTTGCCCAGTTTGTATACAATGATGCTCGAGTAAATGACAATTTTCCTGTTAAATCATGGGTTTGCGTTTCTGATACATTTGATATTACCATGATAACAAAGCAAATTTTGGACGATGTCACCTCATCAAATGAGAAAATCAACATTCTCGATGAACTTCAGACCAAGCTGAAAAAGAGCTTGGCAGGGAAGAAATTTTTAATTGTTTTAGATGATGTTTGGAACGATATGCATTGATTGGGACACACTAAGAAGACCTTTTAGCGTTGGAGCACCGGAAAGTAGGATCATTGTAACGACACGCAATGACATTGTCGCATCTATAATGGGCACAATTCCTAGTCATCCCTTGGAGCAATTGCCGGATGAAGATTGTTGGTCGTTATTTGCTAAGCATGTGTTTGTGAATGGAGATTGTATGGCTTGTCCTGAGCTAGAGAGTATTGGCAGAGAAATTGTGAGCAAGTGTGGTGGCCTACCTTTGGCAGTAAAATCACTTGGAGGTCTCTTGCGGTCCAAATTGGAAACTAAGGAATGGGAAAATATATTAAAAAGCCAGATATGGGGTTTGGAGCGCAGCATTCCTCCAGCTCTAAGACTGAGTTATCATTATCTTCCTTCGCATTTAAAGCGATGCTTTGCATACTGTTCGATATTTCCCAAAGGTCACACATTTTCAAAGGAAAGGTTAGTTCAGCTATGGATTGCCTTAGACTTCGTGGAGCAACCCAAAAGCAACAATTCCGTGGAAGATGAAGGTAACAACTACTTTCGTGAATTATTATCAAGGTCTTTCTTTCAAAGATTAAGTCATGGTGATACCGAGTTTTATTTTGCAATGCATGATTTGATCGATGACTTTGCACAAGATATATTTGGAGATTTATGTTATAGGCAAGATGATGACAAGCCACTTGTTCACATCTCTGAAAAAGTGTGCCATTTTTCATATGTTCGTGGCCAGTATGATGCATTTGAGAAATTCAAGATTGTTAATGAGGTTAAATGTTTGAGGACATTCATGTCATATTCAAGAGGCAGAGATCAATATTGTTGTTTAGGCAATAAGGTACTACATGATATGTTGCCAGCCCTGAGATGCTAAGGGTTCTATCTATGTCAAACTATCAAATTTATGAATTACCTCAATCAATCGAAAATTTGATACATTTACGCTATTTGGATCTCTCTAGGACGAGAATCAAGAAATTACCTGATTCGGTAACAACCTTGTGTAATTTACAGATGTTAAATTTGTCGTATTGTGAATGTCTGACTGAGTTGCCTGTGAACATGGGAAAACTAATCAACTTGCGTCATCTTGATATCAAAGGAACTAGATTGACTGAAATGCCAACACAGATTAGCAGGCTGAAAGATCTCCAACATTTAACATATTTTGTAGTTGGCAAGAATGGTGGGTCAAGCATTAGTGGGTTGAAGGAACTCTGCAATCTTAGGGGAAAACTCGATATTTTAGGTCTGGAAAATGTAGTAAGTGGTCAGGATGCATCAGAGGCGAATATGAAGGATAAAAAACATCTTGAAGGTTTAGTGTTGAAATGGAGTGGCGAAATGGAGGATTCACTAAAGGAAAGAGATGTTTTTGACAAGCTACAGCCTCATGCAGGGTTAAAGACTCTCAGCATCTTCAACTATGGGAGCACAAAATTTCCAGATTGGTTACAGGGAGTTCATTCATTTCGCAACATGGTGTCCTTAGAACTTGTAGACTCTGCAAATTGCTATTCATTGCGATCAATTGGGCAGCTACCCTCTCTAAAACATCTAGGAATTGAAGGAATGAAAGCAATAACAATTGTGGGTCGAGAGTTCTATGGGGATGCTTCTTCTTCGAAGAAACCATTTCAATCTCTGGAGACACTAAGATTTAAGCTAATGGAAAAGTGGGAGGAATGGCATGCATTGGGAGCTGGAGAGTTCTCTTGCCTTTTAGAGCTTTCTTTGGTTGATTGTCCCAATCTGATCGGTGAATTATCCATCCGCTTCCCAATCTGATCGGTAAGAAAAATTCAAATTTCCAAATGCCAACGGCTCGTGTCCAATCAAGTTGGGATGTTGCTGCAAGGCCTGCCTTCTCTTCAAGAATTGGAGATGTCAGAGATGACACACTTGACAGAATTGCCGCCGCAATTGCAAAACCTGTCTTTTCTTCAGAAATTGGAGATTTCAGTGATGCCAAATTTGAAGAAATTGCTTCTGGAATTGTGCAGATTGATGAAACTTGAATGGTTGGGCATACAGGAATGTGCGAGCCTTGAGTCATTTTTGGATGTGGGATTGCCGTCAATGCTTAAGATTCTGAGAGTTATTGAATGTGAAGCTCTACAAACCATAACAGTAGCATCACCAACAGAGGGAATAAATATTTGCCTTGAATATTTGTGCATGTATAATTGTTCATCTCTTATTCAGGTGACTTTCCCCATTGGTGATCTACCTCCTACATTGAAAACACTTTTGATCAGGGGCTGTAGAAGTTTAGAGTTTCCCTTGCCGGAGGAGATGGAGCATAGTCACCACACATCCATTACAACTTTGGAGATAACCAGTAGTTGTGATCTTCTTAAATCACTGTCGTTAGGCTTATTCCCAGATCTTCGTGAGCTAGAGATCTCGGGGTGTATGAATCTTGTAATGCTTTCAATTCCAGGCAAGGAGTTGCGAAATCTGATGAAGTTAAAAATAAGAAATTGCCCTAGAATGGTTTCTTTTGCCCCAGGAGGACTGCCCGCTCCCAATCTGACCGACTTTCATGTTGTGTGTTGTGAGAATCTGAAATCACTGCCGCAATGAATGCACACCCACCTCCCGTCTCTTCAAGGATTGTGGATATTGGACTGTCCAGAAATTGAATCATTTCCAGACGGAGGTTTGCCATCCAACCTACGTCAAATTCACATCTATAATTGTGAGAGACTAATAGAGGGCCGGATGGATTGGGGTTTGCAAGCACTCCCATTTCTTGAAGAATTCTGTATTGGAGGTAAATCCTTGTCAGAAGTGTTGGAGTCATTTCCAGAGGAGTGGCTATTGCCCTCCACTCTTACCTCTCTTGAGATCTGGTTCCTTCCAAATCTAAAAAGACTCAACCACAAGGGCCTTCAACACCTCACCTCTCTTGAAATTCTAAAGCTTTGGTTCTGCCCTATGCTCCAGTCCCTGCCAGAAGAGGGGCTGCCCAAGTCCCTCTCTTTCCTGAATATACACGAATGTCCGTTGCTGAAACCACGTTGCCAATGGGAGAAAGGGAGATTGGATCAACATTTCCTGAATCCAACGCGTATGGAATAATGGTGAAGAGATCATAAACTTAGAGTGACAGACAGTCATTATGTTTCTTACCAAGTTCTATTGAAATGCAGGGCAGTCCAAACAGAAAAGCAAGAGAGGAAGGCAAGTTGAGCAATATATATTGCATCAATCACATCTCATCACTTAGCTACCCGAGCACTGTGATCGTATTTTGGAAATTATGTTTTTGATTCTTCATTGAGAAAACTAGTTTGTTGTGTAAATATATTAAGATTTGACATACTGAAACTGAGAATTTGGATGTTCCATGGTATATGTTGGTTTGAATGTTGACTACAGTATTAATTAATTTGCTTTTAAATCTCACTTTAGTGTGTGATTCTTATTGAAAATGATTTGATTGAGCAGGTGGAAGTAAGAAAATTTTAATTCTTACTAACTAAACAAGTATGTGCTAGAGAATGGATCTGCTATGAAAAACCAAAATAAAAGATGCAAAAACAGACTAGCTCTGAATATTCTGTAAAAATAAGAAAAGAAACTGAATTACTAAAAACTACTAAATACTAAAAAAGAAAGCAAATCGAATCCGTTTAATCTTTTAACAAAAATTCCAAAATATTCAAAATTGGGAAACCGTCATTCCTGAGCCTTAAATGATTGAATTTGGCCAAAAAGTGTCCTACCTCGGCAACGAAGCATCCGATATCTGCGAGTTGGGTCATTCTTGGGCCTTAAACAATTGAATTCGGCCAAAAGACGTCCTACCTCGGCAATGAAGCATCCGATATCTGCGAATTGGGTCATTCCTGAGTCTTAAACGATTGAATTCGGCCAAAAGGCGTCCTACCTCGGCAACGAAGCATCCGATATCTGCAAGTTGGGTCCTTTTTAATAAAACTGAACTCTTTCCGAGTTAAAAACGGATTTGTCGAAATCATTTAATAAAAACTGATCAACCTGCCCATTTGATCTTTTACAGTCCAAACGGATTCCAAAATCTTCAGCTAAATGTCATGCATCACATTGTCTCAGAGTTTGTTACTCATGTTTGAGATCCACAGTTGAAAGGAGACCTTTGTTATTGGGGAAACATTGTAGGACTAAATGACTTTTTAAAATGAATATTCAAATCATTGCCATGAAGAAGTGTTTACATAATATTAGGTTAGTTTTTTATAATAAAAGACACTTAGAAGACAATTCAGAGGTGACGCCCTTTTAGAGATTTATGCGTCATACCGAAGATACTGTTTTTCTAACCGGTTGAAAGCATGCCTTTTTTTTTTTTATGAGCTCTATGCTTAATGAGCAGTTCAATTGACATAAAAGAAGATTCATATGAATGTAAATTCATATTAATTTCTAACTGGTTGATTTCATTGTATTTTTAAGTTCATGAAATTTTCATGAACCCAATTTTGAATCTACAATAATCTATTTAATTGCATCCCAATATTGCAGGTTTTGGATTCACCTTCCAAAGCTAACTGAACTAAACATCAATTTGTGAGATATAAATTTTGTAATTGACAAATTTTGGTGTCAAGTTGTAATTTTATTGTTTAATTTTGAGTCTCGGAAGCGAAATTAAAGTATTGGGAACGTGTCAAACATACTTCGACTGGCTGACATTTTTGTGTGTATGTGTTTCCATATACATGACTGGATGCTAGGACCTATATGATATTTCTCAAAATATATGTATGGTTAAAATAAGGATAACGCAATTTAGATTTAATAGTGTCCTGGCCATAATACGTTCCAATCACTCCTTCTCGGGACTAGTGTCCTTTCTAAGGGGACTTTTTATGTAGATATTGTATATTTTGCATACTCTAGAATTTTCAAAATTAAAATGACCACGCATATGAGTACCAACAATCTTGTCATTAGATGTAAGAGAAGATCAAAATTTTTAACTCTCTTCTATTACCGAAAAAAAAAACTCTCTAAGTAGACAATTGAATTGATTAGATTGTTAAGTTTAAAAATCGTTATAAGGAGAGGACATATTGTTTATTTTTATGATAGACACCAATAAAATAATTAAGCCTAAGTAAACATGGATTGATTTGATCAATACCAACATCCTCCACACAGTAAAGGTAGTCTTTGTGAATTTATATATAAAGAAAAATACTAATATACAAGCTGGCTACAAAAAGCTAGGTCCATGGGCCAAACAAGGAGGCCAATAAATGAATGGTGTGATGTTAAGATTGCATTGTTAAGTAGTTTTTTTTTTTTTCTTTTCTTTTCTTTTTTCATGACAAGAATGTTAAGGTTAGTGGCTAGAAGAGAGGGAGAGAATTGTGATGTTTCCAATTTTCAGCATTTTTTTCATTTTTCAGAAATTTTGTCCCCACAAGGGCATTTTTGTCTTTTACAGTTTTGCGTACCGGACACTACGGGGCATGCCGTTCGTGCCTGAGAGTTGTTTGGGACATTTCATTGAGTCCAGGACTCTTTGAAATGTAAGGGTGTTTTATCTTTCCATTTTTCAGTTTTTCGGGTCGGACGGTCCCGTGTGGGACCCGCTGCCGGTACGGTTGCATCCGGGGAATTTGGTTGGGATTCATTTGCATCATGTTTAAGTTATTTAAGACGTTACATATGGTTATAATTTAGGGTTAATTACATTCACACCCTCTGAGGTTTGCCTTATTGACAGCCAGATGAAAGATAGCCATTTTTCGAACAATGACACCCCCTGTCAGAATTTGCATCCAAACAAAGCCTAAAAAGGAGTAAAATGTCTACATTACCCTTTAATATTTCATTCATATTTAATCTAAAATATCAGAATCACTAAATTACCGAAATGCCCTTTTTTTAGGAAAAAAGAAAATTAACTCACCTACCTACTTTCTCTCTCTAACATCAATATCCTCCAACCCACTATCACCACAACTCACGTCTGCCACCGCCACCGCCACCGCCAAAACCTCCACCCACAACCACCACCTCCAACACCGCCCCACCCGGTTCTTTATTTTTCTCTCTCCACACCCTACAGGGTGGAAACCCAGTTGCGGATTCTCAACCGTCTGATCCTAATTTCTCCTTGGTTAACGCTACTTCTCCTCCAATACGTTGTTTCTCACCGCCAATTTCACTCCATCTGATCCAGAAGAGCCCATCAAGGGTAACAACCCGATTTTTTTTTTTTTTTGTGTATATATGTATATAATTTTTTTTTATTCACAAGAAGGAGCTTAGAGAATTTGCGGTGGCGAGAGGTGATGCACAGAGAGGAGGAAGGATGGTTGTTTCGATCCGACGAATATTCCGATCACCACCCATAGTCTTATCTGAGCTCGAAGATTGATGTTGGCTTGGAGAGTTCACTGATCACGAACGTTGCATCATCATGCTCGCCGAATCCGTCGAACATATCGTCTTGTTCCTAATCAACACTCTCAAAATTTGGCGTGCCGTCAATTGAGTTTTCATGGCCATCTTCACCCCTCACTCTTCGGAGTTGACTAACCACCACCGCCCCTTAATTGGTATATCAGTTGATGAGCACTGGTGTTGTTGGCGGCGACAGAGAAGGTTGTAGTAGCCACTTAGGGTTTCGGCTTTTGTTGTTGGCTACTTAGGGCTTCAATTGCAATAGCCACTTTGGTGTTTGAGGATTTGCGAATCATTGATCAGAGATTCAGGTTGATCGACGATCATCTATTCAGGGTGTTTTGCTTTGGTGGAAGTTTTCAATGGGTTGCAGGGAATAAAGGTTG